ACCCCAGGGATGTGCCCCGCAGCGGTCAGACCTGAAGGGGGCGTCCAGGAGGCGACCCCGCCCCTCTGGCCGCGAAGCCCACCGGCAGAGGCGCCAGGGAAGCCCCGCGCCCCCAAGGGGACCCCACTTCCACGGTCATGGCCCCAGAGCGGGGGCCCTGCACACAGTAGGTGCTCAGTCAGCGACCACCCCCTTGTCCTCCCCCACCGGCTGGTCCTGGCCTCTCTGCCCCTCCGGGATCACCCCCACTGAGCTTCGGGTCCACTGAAACCCCCAGATCTTTTTTCCGGGCCACGGGCTGAGCAGCTGGCCGGTTATGGCCAAGGGGGACCGTTGCGTGCACCCCGATAGTCCCGGCCATGGCCCCGGGACCCCCCCACTGCAGACTTCGGGGCTCAGACTCGGCCGTTACTAAGAAGGGCAGCGCCCCCGGCAATAGGGAGTGGGGGCGGGCCTCGGTTCAAGTTGCCCGGGAGAGGGCTGCGGGCTGGCACGCGGTGTCTCAGTTCCCCCCCCCCCGCGCCCCCACCTTTTTGCTGAGGTAGATGAACATGGCGTTGCGGCCCCGGGAGCCTCGGGGGGCGGCGGAGGACGAGCTTCCTCAGGCCGGGCCGCTCCGGAGCCGCTGTCGTCCTGGCAACCGCCGTCACCGGCCCCGCCCGACAGCGTGTGCGTGCTTACGTAAGTTGCGTGGGCGTGGCGGCGCAGGCGCAGGAGAGGGGGAGGGGCGCTCGGAGGCGCCGGGGGCCGGGGCCGGGGCCGGGGCCGGGACTGGGACTGGGACTGGGACTGGGGTAGGGAGATCTCAGCCAGAACAGGGACTGGAGCAGAGGCGGGGACAACAGCAGCCAGGACAAAGGCGTGGAGGCGGGAGATGATAAAGTGGCTGGAAAACGAAGAGCAGCGGGCCCCTTTGCCTGGATCATGGAGCAAGTGAAGGGGAGGTGTGGGGAACGCTGAGTCTGGACCGAGGGAGCGCTAGAACCGGGCCGGAAAGGCTGCAGATGCCACGCGGAGGATTTAATCTTTAATCCCAGAGGGCATGGGGAGCCATGGAGCTTCTTGAGGACAGGGCCACGGCGACCTCTGCTTTAGAACCCCACTTTGACAGGGGATGGACCAGAGAGGGGAGAGCCTGGAAACAGCCCCTCCTCCCCCACGATCCATGACAGATGAGGCTCAGCACCGGGGCGGGGGGGGGGGGGGGGGAATAAACATCTCTTAAGCACCTCCTGTGTGCCGACCACTGGCGATGCAACAAGTCCCTGGGCTCCAGGAGCTCCCAGGACAGGAGAGACTGAGTAGATGCTGGGAGCCAAGAGGGAAGAAGCTGGTCGGTACCAGGATGGCAAGGCTCTCCACAAAGAGGGAGGTTGACAAGAGACGTCCATTTGGGGGAGAAAGATAGTGACCCCTATTCTGGACAGGACGAACTTCAGGTGTCCTGGGACGTCAGGTTCAAGATGCCCAAGAAACAGCTGGGGATGTGGAGGGAACGGGGCTGGATTCTTCCAGCTGGGAGGCAATTAAACCCACAGGGGCTGATGAAAGCTCCATGAGGAGAGAGGACAGAAGAGGTCTCAATGCAGAGCCTCGGGGAGCAGGGCAGAGATGCCAGTCCTTCAGAGGCATCTTAGAAGGACCAGGCAAGTAGGAGAAACAGAAGAGAGGGTAGACAGCAGAGGTCAGGAGTGTCCGAGGAGGCAGAGAAGCTCAGGAGGATGAGGGCTGAGATAAGACAGACAGAGCCAGCAAGGAAGTGCTCAACTGGTAGAGTGGAGAGAGTTCCCGATGAGTGATGAGGTCAGAACCAGGAATGTGAAGGGCTGAGGCGTGAAATCCCCTTCTTTGACCACGATCGATGGGCTTTCCGCCTCACCCTCTGCCTTCCCGTACATAACCTTCTTCATCTGCGCTGTGACCTCCATTCCCTTGACCATTGGTTCTCATCTGCCCTGTACTCTCTCCTCTTCTCCCCATCTTGACCCCTTGGTGAACCAGTTCAACTCTACACTGGCCTCCTCTCTCGAATCCCTGGCCCCCTATTATGGTGCCAGTTATACCTAGCCAAGCCTCAGCCTTGAGTAACTCCCATTCACCACCCTTGCTCCTACACTCGTGCTGCTGAACAAAGGTGGGAAAAATCATGCCCCCGTTGTGACTGTATCCATGTATATTATGAAATTTGCACTGGGCCCTCCCTGCTGTCAGGCAATCCTTCTGTGCTCCCCACCCTCCATAGAGGCTCTTCCAGACCTTCTCATCCCTCAGCTCTTCTGTGGCTCCTCCCACCCTAACTCCCTCAGCTGAGACCCTCACATTTTACAGGAAAAAATGGTGGCTGTCCTCCATGAACGCCCTCTTCTTGCTTCATTCTCATCTCCTGTCTCTCAGGTGCCTTCTGCCCCTCTCTCCTCCTTCACCCCTGTCTCACAGTATGAGGTAGCCTTACTCCTGACCAAGGTTGACCCCTCTACCTTCACTCTCCCTCTCCACTGGCTCCTTCCCTCCTGCCTACAGACATACCCAACTCTCCCCCATCCTCAAAAAGCCTCCCTAGACCTCTCCATCCCTGCCGACAATGGTCCTGTATGATCCTATGGTCCTTCTGCACTTCATAGCTAAACTCTCCCAAAAGACGGTGCCTCCACTTTCTGCTTGCAACCTTATCATTGCCCTGAAACTGTTCTCTCCACAGTGACTGATGATCTCAGCTGCCCAATCCGATGGCCTTTTTCAGGCCTTGTGCTCCTTGGCCTCTCTACAGCCTTGGACACATTGGTCATTCCCTGCTTCTGGATACTACCTTGTCTCTAGGTTTTCAGGACACCATCTCTCCTTTCTGGTTCTCCTCCTACCTCTCTGACCACTCCTTCTGTGTCTCCTTTGCTGGATCCTCATCATGACCACACCCTTTAACCACAGGTTTCCCTTAGGGTTCTGTCCTGGGCCCTGTCTTTTTTCCCTCTATGCTACTTTACTTGGTGATCTCATCAACTCCTGTGGATTTAATTACCATCTCTATGGGGCAGCTGGGGGGTGCAGTGGGTAGAATGCTGGGTCTGAAGTCAGGAAGACTCATCTTCTTGATTTCAAATCCAGACATTGACTAGCTATGTGACCTGGTCAAGTCACTTAACCCTGTGTGCCTCAGTTTCTTTATCTGTAAAATAAGCTGGAGAAGGAACTGGCAAACCCCTTCAGTATCTTTGCCAAGAAAACCCCCAAAGGGTCCCAAAGAGTTGGACATGACTGAAAACAACTGAACAACACAACAAAAATGCTGATGATTCACAGCTCCTGCCTCACACTCTGCTGACCTCCAATCTTGCATCTCCAAGCGCCTTTCAGACATCTCCAGCTGGACGTCCAGTAGATGGCTTAAACTCGACACATCCAAAAGTGGGCTCCTCATCTTTCCCCTAAACCTCAGTCCTCTCCTACCTCTCCTGTGGACACACAATGCAGCCTCTGAAGCTGACATGCAAAAAAAGCGTGGCTCCATCCTCTGCTGCTTGTGCTCATTTTGGCCTAGCAATTAACACCAAGAAAACACAGACGCTCCACCAGCCAGCACCACAACTCCCATGCATACGTGGAACCAGCAGTCTCAGACAATGGAGAAGTTTGAATGCTGTGGGTAAATTCACTGACCTTGGTAGTGTGCTTTCCAGAGATGTACATGTTAATAATGAGGTTAGCCCAGGCATTGCCCGCGCTAGCTCAGTGTTTGGGAGGCTCCCAAGGAAAGTGTGGGAGAGGAGAACTATTAGACTGACTGCCAAACTGAAGGTCTACAGAGAGCCATTGTGCTGACCTCATTGTTGTATGCCTTCGAAACCTGGACAGTCTACCAGCGCCACGCCAGGAATTGTCTTAGGAAGATTCTGAAGATCATTCAGCGGGATAAGATACCAGACACTGAGGTCCTTTCTCGAGCTGAACTGCCAAGCATTCCAACTCTGCTTCAGAGAGTACGATTCTGATGGGCCGGCCATGTTATTCCAATGCCAAATGTACATTTGCCTAAAAGATTATTTTAAAGAGAACTCATGCAAGGAAGGCTCTCACATGGAGGTCAGAAAAAGTGATACAAGGACACTCACCAAGTCTCTCTAAAGAACTTTGAATTGACTGTGAGTTACAGGAGGCACTGGCACAGGACCGCCCAGCATAGCATGCCCTCATCAGAGAAGGTGCTGTGTTCTATGAACAGAGCAGAATCGCAATAGCTCAAAAGAAATGTGAGATGCACCAATTCAGAGACTTCTGCACTCCAAATCCTCATGTGCGCTATTTGTGCTGGCCTGTGGTTGAGCCTTCGGAGTTCCCATTGCTCTGATCTGCCAGACTCTGACACAGTGGACCTTGATGATGCCATTTTGGTCCTCTTCGAGAGCAGAGGACAGTAACCAACCAAGAGGGCACCAAGTCTTCCCGGTCCCCCGGCTCCCAACCCGGGAGTCATCCTGGGTGCCCCCCAAACCAAGCTGGTGCCAAGCCCTGCCAATCTCCCCTCCTCCCCCTCCTGGCCTCTGCCCCTGCCCCATCCTGGTGCAGATTCTCATCACCTTATGCCTGGTCTGGTGCAGTAGCTGCTGGGGGGCAGGGCGGAGCATCTGACACCTCTGGTGTCTGGCCACTCCACTCCATCCTCCACTCAGCCACTAAAGTGACTTTCCTAAAGTACAGGTCTGACCATGTCACGCCCTAGTCAGTGAACTCCAGAGGCTCCCTGTCACCCCCAGGAAGCAAATACAAAATGCTCTGTTTGGCATTCAAGGCCCTTTCTAACCCTCCCCCTCCTCCCTCTCCAGTCTCCTTACACCTCACTCCTCAACATGTCCTCTTCAATCCCAGGACACCAGCCTCCTGGCTGTCCCGTGAACAAGGCCTGGAATGCTCACCCTCCTCAGCTCTGCTTCCTGACTTCCTTGGCTTCTGTTAAGTCCCAGGTAAAGCCCCACCTCCTTCAGGAAGCCTTCCCCAGCCCCTTTTCATTCCAGTGCCTTCCCTCTGTTCCTCATGTCCCATTTCTCCTCCACGTAGCTTGTGTGTACTTATTTGTGCGCGTATGGGCTCTCCCGTTAGACTGTAAGCTCCTTGAGGACAGGGACTGTCTCTTGCCTTTTTTTGGATTCCTAGCACTTAGCACAGAGCCTGGCACACAGTAGGTGCTTAACAAATGTTGATTGGAGTATCACAGGAGCTATGACTTGCTGCATCACCTTGTAAGTATTTTCCAGGGCACATGTATGTGTCCATTGTGCGGTGGAGGAATAAAGAGCCATGTAATATCCTCTGGGCACGGGTTGGAGCATGGTGATCCAGGGAGTTTGAGGAGAGCCTGGTTCCCCTCTCTTTAGGGCCAGGTTCCTCCAGGACTGGACCTGGTCTGTTTTGGCCTAGAGCCATGTGGGGTGGGAGGCGCCATGGAGAAGGGAGGGTGCCCCTGCCCCGCCCCATCCCACACCTCATGACTTTATACAGAGAATCCAGACTGATTCTCTGAGAATCCTCAATCCACTACCCTTTTAATGGCGGTACTAGGCATCGTGAGAAAGCAGAAATGACATCCATGTCTCAGGTGAGTAATATATGTTTATTCTTCTACAAGTCATATAAACTTACGTGAGAATCCAACATTAAATATAGCACAGACCAACTCATACAACATGACTAAAAATGATCCAGAATACTTTACAGTATTCCGTATGCAAAAGACGTGGTCATAAAAATGCATTCAAGCCAATTTATATGTTAATAAAATCCTAGCATGAGGTTTCTTTTTTAAAATCATGTTGGTTATTAAATTACAAAAATGCTTGAAACAGAGCTTCCCTGTTATGCTAATATCTAAAGTTTCTATCCAAAGAGTTTATGACTACATTTTTTTGATACAAGGATAGAGAGCCCACATCACAGCTGAACAGGTCTTGGGGAGCCTCGTGGTACAGGTAGGGGGCCTCATGGACTACGAGAGTGACCTTGGCGCACAAGGAGAACCATCTGTGTGTGTGTTTGTCTCCAGACTGTGCACAACCCCAAACAATAACAGTAACAGACAAAATGGAAGCCCGAACTGGGCACTCAGCAAATGGTCTTGGTTCTCCATTATAGTGCCATCGTTTATCTGGATAACCTAGACATTCAAATGGAGACACAGACTTGAAAAGAAACACTTTAATAAGACAGGTGAATAGGATACATGCTATGAAAAGGGATGAAAAGTTTCCTGTGTTAATGCGGCCACTGTTTTCATTTTCTGATATAAGCATGTAGTCATTCCAGAACTGAATGTCTCAATTAATCGCTGGAATTTGTGGAGGGAACCATCTCATTGTGCTTTTTTGCAGCCTTTTCACTGTTCTGATTCAGAGAGATGCAGTTCTGGGAGAGGGAAGCATTTGCTTCTTTTGAAGGACTCAGCGATCGAATTCTCAAGGAATGGGAAGGGAGCTGCCCCCAGCTAGGGTGAGATTGGGAAGCATGTGGGCACCTTGCTGTTCTAAAAGCAGAGGTGGTATATAGTAAGCTCCCAGTTATTCTCCATGGGTTGCTTTTTGCTTGAAGGAAAAAAATATTAGTTTCTGGAAATTCCTCTTGCTATTTGCTCAGTGATGTTTTTGGCAGCTGGCACGATGGAAACCAGGGCCCCGTCCACCCTGTGGGCGCGCTGTCAGACTCCTGATGGGGCAAGGATGGCAGCTCTAACGGCGGACCTGTCTCAAATCATTGATTTGTAACTTCTCCAAGATATCGTCAAGTGACTCCTTGTTAAGGTCAACACCGTTTATGGCAAGAGCTTTGGAAAAGTTGAATTTATTATCACATTTTCCCCATCGTTTGGTAACCCAAGTCTGCCTTGACAAACCACACTGGGAATCCACTGTTATTTTTACGAGCTGACACTTGAAGAGTGCCTTTCAGTGGAGGAATGCAGGGAAACGGGTACAGGCTGTCACCTCTGCACAGGCCAGCCCACCCGGCTCAGACACATGCTCCAAAGTCAAAGCCAAACTCCTTTCTCCTCTACCTGGAGGAGGAGAAAGGAGCACAGCCTGCCAGAAAGAGAAAGCTAGACCCCACAGGTCTTGAGAGATAATCAAGATTGTGAGACCAGAGGGACTTTTTGTCCTTCAGGAAGCCTCAGATTCCATGTTAATCTCTCATATCGATTTTCTATTAAACTCTCCTGAGGCTACAGTGGAAAAAAACAATAAAATCCACAGTACCATCACCCCGTCCCCTGTATCAGGATACTTGGGGTGCTCAAAATTTCGGGGTTTCCTAAGGATGGGCTGTGGATCAAGGGCTAAGCTGGGGTGTTTGGGGAAGCACCCATGGTGCTCAGAAACAATCTTGGAGTGGGCTTTCTGGACACACGGTGACTGCAGGTGCCATCATGCCCCAGTGCCATGGCTGGGCATGGATGGAGTATGAACTGTGCAATCCCTACTGAGTAGCTGAGAGTTTCCTCCCAAAGGGAGTCCTCCTGAATAAGGACTACAAATGAATGGGAAGAGAACCCATTCATTCTCCTGGGAGGTAAGCCTTCCTAGGATCAGAGAACCATTGGTACCTAGAAGGTACTTCAGAGGCCATAATGATCCAATACTCTCATCTTACAGATGTGAAAACTGAGGGCCAGAGAGCAGACATGATTTGCTCGGTGACAGGCAGGCCCAGGGGCCAACCAATTCTTCTGACTCCAAACCTAGCCCCATTGGGTTCTACTGCCCCACACTGGTAAGGTAAGTGCTCAAGGCTTCCTCTGAACCTAGTATTCATGCATCACCTGCACAGGAATATGACATGAGCTGGGCTGCCAGGAGGCCCACGGTCAGGAGAAACCAAGTCAATCTGTTTCACCACCCTCTATGCTAAGAACTTTGGAGCACACTAGTAGTGGCCCTACGGAATCTCTACAAAGAACAGAAAACTGTCTCCTGCGCTCTTCTCGGAAGATCCGTGGCTCCCTTCGGTTGGTCGCGAGCCCCCTCCACCAGTTAGCCTGTCCCCAGGCCCCTCCCCAGCCCCAAGCGCTTTCGCTCTGGAACATGACTTTGGGGTGCAGATTGTTTAGCTCCCAAAGCATGCAAACTCCTCCAGGGCAGGTGTCTTATGTGTGTTTGTCACTGTGACTCCATGGGGTCCAGAACACAAAGAGGGCCCAGGAAATGCTAATAGAATGAATGAAACTCCTTTGTTTGGCCTTCACAGCCTGGCACCAGCCTCCTGCCCCTCCAGCCTGATGGCAGGTCACTTCCCTTCCCACTCACTAGGGTCCAGCCAGACTGGCCTTCTGCTAGCTCCCCATTCACTATGTGCTATCTCCCGTCACTGGGAGCTGCACCCTGCCTGGAGATGGCCAGCCAGCAAGCATGTGGTAAACACCTAACCAGGCGCTAAACTAGAAAAAAAAGACAAGCAGGTCCTGCCCTCCTCCGTTCTGGCCTGTCCTTCCGCCTCCCCCTGCCTCGCAGAGGACGCAGTGCCAGCTTCTCTACGCACCTTTTGGGATCCTCTAGTGCCTGGCCTCTCCTCCTCCTCCTCCTCCTCTGTCACCACCAAATGACCTTTACCTCTGTCAGTTATACCTGCACACCCACCCTTCCCCCGGCTAGCTCCTGGAGGGGAGGGCTCTTCTATTCCATGCACCCATGCCAGTGCCTGGCACAGAGTAGGTGTTTAATAACTGCTTGTTAACCAGTCAGTTGACTGATTGACCAATCGAGTGGCTGGGTCAACCACAGCATGTGGATCCTTGCTGAAGGCAAGCGGGAAGGATCAAGAAGGGGATGAAAAGGATATGCTTGGCTGAAAGTCTCTGGAGGCGGGAGGTGACTTTCTCCTGGAAGGCCAATGTGGCTTCACAGCCACAGGCATCTTCAGTCGAGACGAGTCTCTGGGCTTCTTGAATGGCTGCAGACAAGTACATTGAGCACAGCATTAGAACAATCAGGATTTGGAAAACCTGGGAGCCTCCTGGGAGGAAGGGGTTTTAAAAATCTATTGGCAAGGGGCAGCTGGGTGGCGCAGTGGATAGAGTACCGGCCTTGGATTCAGGGGAACCTGAGTTCAAATGTGGCCCCAGACACATAACACTTACTCACTGTGTGACCCTGGGTAAGTCACTTACCCTCATTGCCTAACCAAAAAAAAAAAATCTATTGACTTGGCCAGCCCCTGGAGCGGGGGAAACGGGTGTAGAAAAACAGCAGTCTCACACTTCAAGACCACCTCCCCCAAGACACACACTGAACCCTAGCACCTAACACAGCCCTTCAGAGTGCTATGAGTGATCGGTGGGTTAGGCTCTGTGCTAATGCAGATTGCAACCCCTCTGACTTCCTGGAAGGTCTTGGAGACCTGTTGGCCCTGACGGTGTCATCTTCCCACAACTGACCTGGGGAGAATACCTGCTGAACTTACAAGGGTCCTTGAACAGCAGACGCAAGGTCTCTCACCCACTGGCCCTACCGCTCAAGAACCATGGGAGGGTTGCTGCCACACCATGAAGATGATTGAAAGCCTGTTTTATGAGAGACTCACACAGCAATGCTCGACCCAGACTTGCTGAATGAGTGAATCAATCAATGCATGCATGCATGGCTTCTCAGGGATAAAGGGGAAATGCAAAGGGTGACCCAACCAGCAAAATCATAAGAGTAGCTAATGAAGGTTAACATTTGTAGAGTATTTTGCCCCGTGCCAAGCCCTGGGCTAAGTACAATTATTGTCTCACAGGATTCTCACAACAGCTCTGGAAATTAGGTGTTATTGTTATCCCCATTTTACAGATGAGAAAATGGAGACAAACAGAGGCAAAATGGCTTGGCTAGGGTCACACGGCTAGTCTGGATTTGAACTCAGGACTCCCTAATTTCAGACCCAGTGCTCTCTCCAACATCCCCTCAGCCTTAATCACCTTCCTACACAGAGAACCACCTCTGGGCCACTCATGAAGGTTGCCTAAGCCATGATTAGGCAGCAGCTCTGGCCTCCCCAGCCTTTGGGTAGGGTCCCTGAGTCAGGGAGCTTGTGTCTGCTGAGCTGGAGCCTGCAACGTAAGCCTGGAAGTCACATTAAGGAAGGACTGCCCCTCGCTGGGCCTTCCTGCTCCCGCCAGCCCAGGCCTCACCTGCGCACGATCTCCCGTCTTCATTCAAGTGGTACCCCGGGCGGCACTCACAGTGGTAAGCCCCAGGCCCGTCACTCATGCAGAGATGCTCACAGCGGTGGGTGCCTAGAGCACACTGGTTCTGAGCTGTCAGGGGAAGGGGGGGGTGGGGGCACAGGAGAAGGAGGAAAACATGTGCAGATGAAACACAAAGGAAAAACCACACAGCCACAGAATGTCAGTCTGTTCCCTTACTAGTCTAAAGATGGGCCCTCCCCTGAGCAGCTGCAGGACACACACACATACACACACACAGACACACACACACACACACACACACACACACACACACACACACACACACACACTCAGACACACTCACACATTGAGAAACATTCACACACTCACACACACTCAGATACACACATTCTCACCCTTAGAAGTCAGTCATCCGGTCCAGCTCCCCCATCTGACAGGTTCAGAAACTGAGGCCCGGAGAAATAAAAGCGCTTGACCCTGATCACACCCTCAGGAAGTCCCAGAGCTAAGACTCACACCCAGGGCGTCTGGCCCCCAAAGGCCAAGCCTCTTTCTCTTCTCCCATCACCTCCCTAGCTCCAGGCTGAACTTTTGAGGACAGAGATCGGTTTGTCCCCTCCTTGGTGCCTTTGCCAAGCACAGTCTGGGCACGTGGTAACATTCTCAATAAATGGGTGTCCAACAGCCCTGGCTTTCATTTTTTTCTTTCTTCTTTTTCCAGAAAAAAAGTGGATGGGGTCGTGCGGTGAGTGAGAGATACAGAAAGATTGCCCAAGGGCTGCCCTGGTCCCAAGTAACTTTAGGAGCCACAGAAAGGCCTCCCAGACTTGAGAGAGGTTCTCTGAGGAGGCCTTTGAGGAGGCCAAGTGGGACACAGAGGGGTGGGCTGCAATCAGCACCAGTGGAGGGAATGCCCATACCCACCCATGGGATCACAGCTTCAGCAGAGCTATGGGCAAGTGAGGGATGTTATGACCAAAGGAGAACTGGGAATTGATCTCTGGCCATTCTACTGCCCCCTCGGGAAAAGAGAGAATGCAAAAGGTGTGGAACAGAGGGGAGCAAGGAGGCCTGCATTCTGGTCCTAGCCCGTGATTGTATGACCTTGGACATGTTCCTTCCCTGCTCTGGGCCGCAGAGTATTTGCTGTAAATGAGAAGGTAGGCCCCATGACGTCTGACGTCCCACTATTCTCTGAGTTGGTAACAAGGGAGAGGCGGCAACATCCCTCCATCTAAGGCTAAGGGGCCGCTCCCTTGTGCTTCCCAGGCTGTTCTACCGGCAGCTCTGCCAGAGGGGGAGCCCCACCATCTCAGGAAGGCTCTTGAGCTAAGTCTCCCTTGACTTTCTAAATCCCAGAAGAACTCGGCCAGAGGGGGACGCTGCGGCCCGTCTCCCGTGGAATGCTTCTCCAGCTGCTGTGCTTAAGCCCCCAGTGCGAGGTTCTCCTGGAGCAGCCCAGAGTCAAGCCTGTCCTGAGCAGCTCTATGGGGTAGGCTGAGCCTGTGGGCCCTCAGAAGCCTTTCATTCTGTATCCCGAGTGCTTAGCCCAGCACCTGGCACACAGTAGGTGCTTAATAAAGCCTCTTCAGCCCTGCTGAGGGGCCCTCAGTGAAAAGCTCGGGGAGGGAAGCTGCCGAGGGGCTCTTACCAGAACACGTCTTCTTATCCCGATTCAAGACGTAACCTTCATAGCACTCACAGTGGTGGGCTCCAGCCCTGTCACTCACACAGATGTGCTCACACTCATGTGTACCGAGGGCACACTTGTCCTGAGCTGCCAAACAGAGGGGCCGGGATAGGGAAGAGAAACAAGAACAAAGCTGAACTGCCCAGGTTACAGCCCAGGGGAAAAACCCTGCTCTGGGCCTGGGTAAAGGAAGAAGGCCACTGGGGCCCAAGCAGGTCATTGGGACCATCGGCCCTGGGCACAGACGGGCAGGAAGAGCACCCTGGGCACAGCCCAACTGGGCTGCTTTCCCCACAGCCCCATGCAGACATTCACGGCAGCATTCAAAGCCTGGCACTTTCTCCCCCAAGGACCTGCTGATGCTTTGTCCGTGCTGATTATTCTCCTAGTCACAATACCTCTGATACTGGCTGCCAAGGACCCTCCATCCAGGCAGCGCAAGACCCAGCATGGTCTATCAAATAGCACACCTGGGTTGGGGTCAGGAAGACCTGGGTTCGAACCCCACCTGGCATGGTCTAGCTGCATGACCCTGCACAAGTCCCTTCATCTCTAGGAGCCTCCCTACAAAGTGGGCCACTGGTTTCTGCACTGTCCACCTCAACATGGCTGTGCTGAGGCCCCAAGGACATTGTGGCTTTGCAGCCTTGGAGGCCCCACAAAGACACCAGCAAAGAGCATTCCCGGTTTGCAGGAGGACAGTGGGGTGCAGTTGGGGGACCCGTCCCTCGGGGCACATCCCCAGCCTTCCTGAGGAATCTAGATCCTGAACCCCAACCCTCTCTCCCAGATGTGCTGAAATGTTTGGAAATCTTCCCTGCCCCAGGTGGGCGGGCCAGCCAGCTAGGAGGCTGGGAAAGCCTAGCTGAAAGGTATAGCAGTAAGCAGACAAAAAAAAAAGTGGACACCCCGACCTTGAGCTGGAGCATCACTGGGGCGGGGGCTACACCCTCTGAGGAAGGTCTCTGGGAACCTCCTCCGGGAGTCTCCAAGCCTGGCCACTGTGTCCTCTGGGACTGTTTCCTCCTGTATTCTAGACACTATCGAGGGACAGCTCTCACTCACACGTATGTAAGAAGCTGTCCTCTTCATGACGTGCTTCCCTCCCCACAACCCTGTGAGGGAGGTAGGCAACTATGTTACCCCATCATTGGTGAGGCCCTTAGAGGACACGTGGCCACTCAGGTGGTCAGGAAAGAGGGGAGGCCCAGCTGAGGTGTCCTACTGTATACCTGCCAGGGCCCCTTTCACACTGGCCCCAGAGCAGGGCCAAGACAATCACGGGCAAGTGAACTCAGGGGAATGTTTACACACACAGAGGCCAGGCCTGACCCCAGAGACAACACATATGTCTCCATGCCCCCTGCCAGCACGAGGTCACTTTTCTCATTGTTTAAAAATATGGGGAAAAAGCCACCCTGAGGGTAAAGAGAGATGACCAAAGCTCCCCCAGGGCCATCCCCCCAGGGCCATCCCCCTAGAGCCATCCCCCCAGAGCCATCCCCCCAGGGCCATCCCCCAGGGCCATCCCTCCAGGGCCATCCCCCCAGGGCCATCCCTCCAGGGCCATCCCCCCAGGGCCATCCCCCCAGGCACCTCACCAAGCCTGGGCAGGTGCCAGGCTGCCACCCTGACCCTTACCTGAACAGGTTTTCTTATCTTCATTCAGGATGTAACCTTCATAGCACTCACAGTGGTAGGCACCCGCCCGGTCTCTCACACAAATGTGTTCACACCCATGGGTGTTTAGGGCACATTTATCAATAGCTGCCAAAAGACGGGTAAGTGCAGGTACACAGATCAGTAGGCAGCCAATAAGGTCACAGCACAGTGTGAGCAGAAGAACACCCTACCCATCACTGACTAGTCTGTCCCCCTCCCGTCTCAGAGAGGCTTGGGCAGGATGATCTCCAAAGTGCCTCCAGGATGTGCCACTCTAGGTGCTAAGTTCTAAGGTCCATCTGCTGCTTAGAGACACTTAGAGGTGTCACAGTGCATAGAGTCTGGAGCCAGGAACCCCTGAGTTCAAATCTGGACTCAAACATTTACTAGTTGAGTGTTTTCCCCAGTGTTCTCAACTACAAAATGGATCATAATAGCACCTGCCTCCCAGACTTGTTGTGAGGTTTGAGAGCAGTATTTATGATGTACTTAGCCTAGTACCTGGCACACAGCAGGTATTTAATAAATGCTTGCCCCCCCTTCCAGTTGTGACCACTGTTCCATGTCTAAAGGACCCTCCCAGTTCTGAATCATCTGTTCAAGGTCCCTCTCTGCACTAATGTTCTGTGTCCCAGACCCAGAGATAGACTGGATTATTCCCAGCCTCGGCCAATAGCATTTCCCAGGATTCCCTCAGTGCTGCTGGGGGCAGGCCTGGCTGAAAGGGCAGCGGCCTCTCTTTTCTGTCCTGCTGATGGGAAGTCACACCAAAGTCTTACGTGAGCAAGTTTTCTGGTCTTCATTCAAGGTGTATCCTTGGCTGCATTCACAGTGATGGGCACCACCTCCATCGCTTACACAGACATGTTCACACTGATGGGTGCCTAGGGCACACTGGTCCAGAGCTAGCCAGGAGAAGTCGGGGGAGAGTTTCTGTTAGTTGGGATGAACCAGCTAACAGGCAGTCAAAAGTTTCTTTTTTCCATTTAAGAGATGCCATTCAGATCATATGAGCAGCCAAATGGTGGACTAGGCATTTTCTCTGATCCCCATGACCTCTCAGACCTCTCCAAAACAGAAATTGCGCTCTGAAGATAAAGCAACTTCAGCATCTCTATGGCCTAGGAAGCCTAGAATTGAAAAGGTTTTTTTTAAAAAGAAAAACCATAAACTGAGGCTGCTTACACGGAGCTCACTCGGCATGCCTCTCCCACCTCCCACACTATCAGCATAGAGGCTGCATTGGCATCCCCAACCAAGGACATGGCACAGGCTTACAACCAAAGACACCACCACATTCTGGCCCTCCCTCCCTCTGCCTAGCACCACGGGGACCCTGGCTCCAGGCTGTGGAAATGTGTCCTGGCTGTGAAAGCCCCGCAGGAGCGAAACCTCGGCGGGGTTCAGCAGCAATACCGCAACGTTCTGAACCACAAACGCCCGGACAGGCAACCCTACAGCACCAGAGGTGTTGGAGCCGGCCAACGATCCCTGTCCAGGGCAGACAACCCTGTAGCATCAGAGCAGCAAAGCTCCAAACTGCTGGCACAGGTTCAAAACACGCTGGAACAGAGGGAGCGGGACGACATGCTAGAACAGGACACTGTGTGTGTGTTTGTGTGTGTGTGTGTGTGTGTGTGTGTGTGTGTGTGTGTGAGGGGGTGCCCGAGGGAGAGAGCAGAGCATCCATCTGGGCCAGTTCTGACCACCTAAAAGTCAGTTGGGGAGGAAATGCCTTTCTTGGTATCCCTAGCACTTTGTGGAACCTTTTTTTTTTCTTTTTTGAAGGCAATCAGGATTAAGTGACTTGCCCAGGGTCACACAGCTAGTAAGTGTCAGCGGTCAGATCCGAACTCAGGTCCTCCTGACTCCAGGGCTGGCGCTCTATGCACTTTGCCACCTAGCTGCCCCTATCCCTGGCACTTTGTACAGCAGTTGGTACATGCTTAATAAATGCTTGTCAACTTGGCAAAACATCTTGTTTCTCTAGTTATTTGCACACTGTCTTCCCTTTAGACAAACCTTGAGCCCTAGGAGAGCAGGGATTGGTTTTTTGTCCTTCCCTTTCTTTGTATGCCATCACTTCATACAGCACCTTAACAAATCACCTCACACATCACGCATTGTTGTGGGCACTTAAATGCTTGTTGACTTGATAGCTTAGCACAGTGCCTGCCCCCCTCAACATCTGTGATGCAGTTCCCACGTGTTGTCTCTTTGTATTAGAGCATAAGCTACCCGAGGGTAGGGACTGTCTTTGCTTTTTGTGTTAGTGTCCCCAGCACTTCATTCATTCATTCACAGTAAGCACTTGATCAAATGCCTTTTAGATTCATTTGAATGAAAAAGTCTTTGAATTTGGAGCAGGGGATTTTAGTCTTTTTCCAGTTCTGGCCTTCTTGGTAACGGTGATTTATTCATCTCTGCTATTGGCCCAGGCCCAAGGATGCAGGGACACCTGCCCCGCCCCTCAAGAGCAACTCTGGATCAGCTCTGAATGCTAGGCATGTTCCACCAGAAACCGAATTTTGAAGGCTCCATGGATGGCTTCCAGAAGATTTTTCCCAGAAAAATCATTGACTTGAAACTCTTGGCTCAGAGTGATGGACGTGTCCAAATGTGCAAACAGGAAAGGAAGGAAGACAAACTTTCTGACACGTACGTGTGAATGTGGCTGCTCAGACAGAGACACCTGTGTGTAGAGGAGTGTGGAGGAATGTGTGTGTGTGTGTGTGTGTGTGTGTGTGTGAGAGTGTGTTCCTTGGGAATGTTGGTGAGTGTGTGTATATGAGTATGTGGTATGTGTATGAATGTATGTATGTGAGCATATGTGTATTTGTGATTGTGTGTGAGTGTATATGTGTGGTATATAGAGTGTGTATATGTGAATGTGTATGTGTGTGTATGTATATTTAAGTGTGTACATATTGTGAGTGTATGATTATGTGTGTGAGTGTGTGGTATGTGAATGTGTATTATATAAGTGTATGAGTGTATGTATATGTATTGTGAGTGCGTGAGTGTGTATATCTGTGAGTGTATGTACATATATATGTGTGTGAGTACATGTATTGTGAGTGCGAGTATATGTGTGTATGTGTGAGCGTAATATGTGAGTGTATGTGTATATGTATTGTGAATGTATGTGTGTCCAAGTGTATGAGTGTGTGTGAGAGAGTATGTGTATATGTGAGTGTGTTCGTGTGTGCACATTTTTGTGTGTATTCATGTGTGTGTTCATGTGTGAGTATATGTGTATTGTGATATATAGAATGTGTATGAGTATATGTGTATATTTAAGTGGGTGTACATATTGTGAATGTATGTGTGTGTGAGTATATGATTACGTGTGTGATTGTGTGGTATGTGAATGTGTATTATATAAGTGTATGAGTATGTGTATATGTATTGTGAGTGTGTGTAAGTGTATAAGTGTGTGTGAGTGTGTATATATGTGAGTGTATTGTGTGAGTATATGTGTGTGTCTATGTGAGTGTATGTGCACATGTATTGTGAATGTATGTGTGTCCAAGTGTATGAGTGTGAGAATACATGTATATGTGAGTGTGTGAGTGTGTGTGTAAATGTGTGAGTGAGTGTAAGTATATGAATGTGTGTATATCTGTGAGTAGATGTATGTGAGTGTGTATGTGTGAGTACATATGTGAGTGTATGTGTATGAGTATGCATGAGTGTGTGTGAATGTATGTATGTGAGTATGTGTGTGTGTACATGTATGTGTATGAGTGTGCATTCGTGTGTGTGTGTGTGTGTGTGTGTGTGTGTGTGTGTGTGTCTCTCTCTCAGGCTGCCCACCTGGCCCTGTGAGCTCTCCAGGGTATTGAGCTCATCACTGAGGGCAGTCTGGAGGGACAAACAGAAAGGAAGTCAGGATTTGAGGGGGAGGACAGCCGACTGACATCACACTTTTCATCCAGACAACAGGTCCTTCCCAGTGACATCTTTTTGAAAGCTGGATCTGTGATCTGAGTCCCACCTGAGCAGCTGAGGGGGTCTGAGGCTAGAGGCTGGCGTGCCTGTGGCGGGCGGGCAGGCAGGAGGCCCCAGCCCCGCTGCCCTTGGCACCTGGACAAGGCTAATATTTGCCCGAGAAGGGCCTTTTCATTGAGCAGGATTTCCAGAGCACGAAGAACCACATGTCGTCCCAAGCAGTGGACAGCGATGTCCTTTTCCCCCAGACAGAACTTCATTTTCTCCCCCTGAACAAATAGCCCTTTTGTGCCAGGGACGGAGATTCCAGCTTGAGGTGCTCCAGACCTGGTGCTAAGACCTTCGGTAGCAGAACACTGAGCCAGAGAGAAACTGGGACCAGAGTTTGATGCTGGCCTTCAGGGCTCCAGAGGCAGAGCTGCCTACCAGGCATGATGGTACTGGATAAACAGAGAGCCCTTTTCTTTCTTGGTCCCCCAAGACCTTCTGTCCCATAGACACCAGAGGGGCTAGTGCTGGGGTCAGCATGTTTAGTGACTACAGCCCTGGACCTGGAGTCAGGAGACCCCACCTCAAACCCTTCCTGCCCCTGCTACCTGGGTGATGCTGGGCAAGTCTCTTAGGCTTCCTAAGGCTCAGTTTCCCCATCTGTAAAATGAGAATAATACTGATACTACTATACTCACAGGATTCATTCACAGCCTTGGAAACCTTCAAGTGCTCTAGAAACATGAGCTATTGTTATAAATATTATTGCTAATAATTCTACCAGACATCCACTTAGCAGTGGAATGAAGGGAGGGTAGGACAGTGGAAAGCATGATGGCTCTGGTGTCCAAAGACCTGGATTCAAACTCTGCCTCATACCAGCCCTGTCAGGTATTATCATTCTCATTTTACAGATGAAAAAACTGAGGCCCAAAGAGCTTTCCTTGAGCTCTGGTATTAAGAGCCTCTGATCAGTCCATGCCTAAGGTCACTTCTCTCTCTGTCTGTCTCTGTCTGTCTCCCTCTGTCTCTGTTGGTCTGTCTCTCTTTCTTTCTCTTTCTGTCTCTCTCCATCTCTGTCTCTGATTCTGAGGCTAAGCATCTATAAAGAATATTCACTCCAGGTAAGAGAAGACCCCCCCCCACCCCACACACACTTCTTTATACAGAGGGGAGGGGGACAGCTATGGGGCAGGGCACTGTCCATAACCCCAGACTTTTTCAATACGTTGGCAAGTTCTGCTGAACCTTTTTAACTTCCTCTCATTTTCTTCTTTAATATAAGGGCCAGCTCTCTGGGAAGTGTCTGGGGAATGGATAAAGGATAAATGTAGATGATATACAAACGAGATATCAATACAGATGTATATTTTAAAGAAATGTTTTCAGCTGCCTGTGGGATAAAATGCAGAGCCGCCGATGGTCACAGCTGTTCCTGCTCCATCCTAGCCCTGCTTGAGAATAGTCCTATTTCAGGGCCTGGGCGCTTTCCAGAACCCTGCTGCTCCTATGATTTCTAGCCCATTCGCTTAGAGAAGGGACCCCAACCAGACTGGAGGTGCTGACAGCAGGGACGGGGGAAGCGGCTGGCTCCCTGGGGCCGGACGGAGGCTCCCACCCCAGCCAAGTTGCTGCAGCCTGGGAGCCCCGCCTTTGGCTGCTCCCCTGAAGGCTCACCCAGCTCACACCCTCAGCTTCCCCGCATCTTGCCAGGTTTGGCTTGGAGCTCATTTTCTGCGGGAAGCCTTTCTTGATCTCCCTGAATTCCGATACCTGCCTTGGAGAGGAGCAGCACTTCTGCCTGTATCTTGTTTGCACGCACAGCCGGCTCCCAGATCAGCTGGCGCACTTCCAGGGGGCGGGTTCTGTTGTTGCCTTTCTCTGCATCCCCAGTGCCTAGCAGAGTGCCTGGCATGTAGCAAATGCCTGTTAACTAACTGATTTATCAGCTCTGTGCGCAGGCCCTGATTCTCAGGTTAAAGAGCCAACCTAGAAAAATGAGGAGCGCCTGACTAAAGCCTCCCAAGATTTCATGGGCAGGGACAGAGAGGAGCCACGTCCTTGGGGATACACACCTGAAGATGTAAAAGAAAATGGAGCAAGGTTCAGGGGAAGGAAGGAAGAATAAAAGTAGTGTCATTGCTTCGGGTTGTCCAGTCATCACTCCCACAAAGGTCGGCTCACTAAATATACAGAGGTGTTCACTCCCTGAACAAGCCTAGAGGGGCAGCAAGAATTTTGCAGAATGTGAGGGCAGGCTAGTAGGTCCAGCCTCCTCAGGTGGGGACAATGAGGCCCACGAGGATGGCAATTGTCAAGGTCAGAAGCAGGACCCCCACCCAGGTGATCTGCTTCCAAATTCCATGGTGCCCCACCACCTATATAAGCACTAACTGAGCCTGTTCCCTCATCTGGAAAGTGGGAGGATTGGCTACTAGATGACCCCTTCCACCTTCAGGTCCTGTGCTTCAGTTAGAGAAAGTAAGAGCCCTGAGCCTGGTGTCAGAAGAGCTGGGTTCAAGTTCTGACTATGACTTACAGGTAAGTGCAGTAACATCTCTGGGCCTCTATTTTCCCATCTATAAAATGGAACAAGATGATCTCTAAAAATAATAAAATGGATGGTTCCAGAGCAACCTTGGAAGACTCGTATGAACTGATACAGAGTGCAGTGAGCAGAGCCAGGAAAACCATTGTTACGATAATAGCAGTACTGGAAAGATGAACAACTGGGAAAGACTTGGGAATTCTGATGGCCACAATAACCCACCACAAAGCCAGAGGACAAAGAATGAAACATGCCAACCCTGACGGAGAGAATGAGCTCAAGATGCAGAACGAGACAGACCTTTTTGGCCACGGCCATTAGAGGAGTCTGCTCGCTTACCAGCACCTTTTTGTGATGAGGGTTTGACCCTCGGTCTTACCACAGAAAGTTTCCCGGAACCTCGAGGTCACCTTCTCGATCACCCCATAGGTCTCCACATAGAACACATGGTCATCAAGTGGCTCACTGGCAATCGTCCTCAGCGACTGCATGTCTGCTCGGTCCACACCCACGGCATAGATCTCAATGCCTGCTGCCCGTGCCTGTGCTGCCACCTCCTCCGCTTGGTCCTGCGGCCGGCCATCGGTCACCATGATGGCCACCTTGGGGATGTTGAAGGAAGCAGTGCGGGCCCCAGCCTCGACAGTGAAGGCTTCGTCCATGGCCGTCTGGATAGCCAGGCCTGACATGGTGCCCGTGGACAAAGGGATGACCCGGGACACTGCCCGCTTCACGGATGCCTTGTCAGAATAGGTCTGGAGGTTGAACTCGATTTTCACAGTGCTGGCATAGTTCACCAGGGCCACCCGAGTGGCAGTCGCCCCAATGTCCAGGCTGTCAATAATCTTGGTGACGAAGCTTTTCACTTTGGTGAATTCCCGAGGCCGCACACTGCGAGAGCTGTCAATGATAAACACCAGGTCCAAGGGCTGGCTCTTGCAGATGTCTGCATGGAGGAGAAAAAGACAGAGGTAGAGAAAAGACTGACTGACCACTGGCCAGCAATATGGTGCAATTTTGGAGGACCAACCTCCCCCCATAGTGAAGCCCTCTGCCTGCCACTCTCTGGAGCAGCTTTTCCCAGGGGTATACTGCCTGGCCGGCTTAACAGTAGAAGAGAATCCCAAGTAAATAGACATTTATGAAGCATCTACTGAATACTCAACCCCAGATGAAGATAACAAAGATCATGGGATTACAAAGTAAGAGCTGGAAGGAACCTTAGAGGTAACCAGATACAACCCCCTCATTTTATGGATGAGAAAACAGAGAGAAATGACTTGCTCAGAGTCGTAGGGTGAGTATGCATCAGAGGCAGAATCTGAACCCAGGTTTTCCTGACTCCAGATCCAGAGCTCTCCCACTGTACCACCTAGAAGTCCATGGCTGCCCTTGCGCTCAGAGAAATGTCACAGGTCAGTGTCCCACAAGAGGGCTTTGGCTGCGCCTACGGAGACCTTCAAGTGAAAGCAGAATGATTGATTCAGGGGTATGCTCCCCAGAGCCACAGTCTCAGCTCCTGACAGCTCTCCAACACAAAGCCTGATGGGAGTGGTCTCCGAAGATGCCAGTGGGGAGCTGAGCTCCTCGCTCCACAGCTGCTTCACCAAGGGCCTCTCAGCCAGGGGCAGTAATGGCAGCCAGCAGCAGCACTTGGAGGGTCAGACTCATAGGCTGGGGCCAGCCTTGTCAGCCTCAGGAGCTGAAGAGACTTCAGAGCAGAGAACTGCAGAACCTCAGAATGCCCAACTTGGTGGGGCCCTCGTGGCATCTCTCCACTGCAACATCTGGACCACCTTTGGCTTAACCAGGTCCCAGTGAGTAAGGGTGAGTCCTCCCTCCCACCCAGCCCCCACTAGAGGCAACCCAGCGGGGATCACGATGGGACAGCTCTCCTAGTTCGGAAGTTTTACCTGCTACTGAGCCTCATTTGGCCTCTCTTTGCACCTGGGGCCAAGCTCAATAAGACTAATCCCTCTTCTGTGTGTCAGTCCCTTAAATACTTGAGCCTAGCTCGTGTACCCGAAATCACGGGTTCCCAACCTCGTTTGGGTCCTGAAGCCCTTGGCTTTTCCGAAACTTTACTTGACCCCAAATTAGTATGATATACAAGTTAATTCTGTTTTCCAAGCTTGTTTCCATAAAACACACAATAGACTGTTTCGTAAAGAAAAGCATACACTTTGCCCTGCGACAGCGCCCTGCCCTAAGACTTCCCTTGCTGGGTTCCACATTCCCAGTCTCTTTAGCCAGACCTCAGTCCACTTGGACCTGAGGCTTGCCCAAGGCCCCACAACCGTTAGCGGCAGGGTCAGAAGCCTTCCCTGGCCACAGCTGCTTCTCCCTTCTGCCCATCCCCGCTCTGCCCGAGAGAGAATCGTGTGCGATGCAGGCGCAGCTGGTGCCTGTCTGGTCCCGGGGCTCCCCACCCGCTGAGCCCTCAGCCTGGCTCCTGGCTGTCGGGGCTGCGCTCACTCCTCTCCCTCCTCCGCCGCATCCGAGAGAGCTCATTCCGTCCCTCTCGTCCCGTCCACCAGTCAGCCGCGGGTTCCTCACCTGGGCTCCTGCTGCTGCTGCTGCTGCTGCTGCTGTTGCTGCTGCCGCTGCCGCTGCCGCCGCCGCCGCGCAACACCTGGGGCTGGCCCGCCCTAGAGTAGCCGGTAGAGCCAAGGGTGGTCCCAAGGCTGCCCCCCAGTTTGCGCAATCCCAGCTGGCGACGGCTCCGACGAGCAGGCTGCCCCCGAGCTGTGGGCACCCATACGAGGAGGAAGAGGAGGAGGAGGAAGACGAAGAAGCGAAGAGGGCTAGCTCCAAGCCGGAATCCCATCGCACCGGCCATCCTGTCCTGAGCTCCTGCAGTGGAGTGCGCGGCCCCACTCGGGCTGGAGACCAGCCCTGCAGCAGCCCGGCCCTTGGGGGAGGAGAAACCGGCCCCCCACCCATGGGCTGGCCTTGCCCCCCACCCCCGCCCTCGGGACTGCTGGGAATCCAGACCAGCCTCGTCTGACAGCCTGTGCCCCTCCCTGCCCCTTCCCCTCATAGGGCTGTAAATCTTAGAATGCTAGAGAAATGTCTGCTATTACACTGAGGAACTCCTAAATCCTGCTCCTTACATTGAACGAGCTCAGTCCTCAGGACTTTTAAGTTTTTACCATTAAGTTGGTAATTAGCAATTTAATTACCATCAGGTTGGGGAGGGACATTGCAGAAGTCCCTGAAAGGGAAAGATTTCCACAGATAGGGGCGTGGGGACAGAGATGTCTTGTTCAATTCCCCAAACATTTCGTGAGCACCTGCTGTGACCAGAGCCTAGAGTTGGGCAGAGTAGCTAAACTCAGGCACTGCTCACCTCCCCCAGTTTAAGGAGGTGATAACACCAACAAAGGCAACCGTGATGCTTCATGTGACTTGGTCAGCGCATCTCAGACACAGTACACCCAGTCACTGAGCTCCAAGAGGAGAGAAAAGCCTTTACCAAATAGGGAGAACCAGAGAAGGATTTCTGGAGGTAATGTGGGAGCTGGCCTTTAAAGGATGCCCAGGAGGAACTGTGCAAGTGATGAGTGGATGAGAGGACACCTGGGAACAGGTCAGTGAGCAAAGGCCAGAGGGAAGTCTGGTGGAGGAAAGGTCCCAAGTTCAGTGACTAGTCAAGGGAACAAGATCCCCTTCCTTTCTAGAAAAAGGAGCTTCTGGAATGAGATCTTTTGACCTGTTCCTGTCTAGACCTAAGCCAGAGAATAAACAGTGAGGCTAGCTGCAGCTAACATCAACTAAGGGGTTTGAATTTTCCTCTAGACTTTCCTCCAACAGGTGTTCCATTAATGTTTACTGAGAGACAGCCTGAGTAGGGGACCCATTTCTGGCCATCTACATCCAAAGAGCTGGGTTCAGATTCCACCTGTAGGAACTCTGGTAAGTCACTGAAGAAAGTCAGAAATAACAGCACTTCCATTAAAGTACCATCTCATTTCATCCTCCTTGACCTTGATGTTGTCCATCATTCTCTTCCCTTTGATACCATCTTCTCTCTAGGTTTTCCTGATGCTGCTGTCTCCTAGCTCTCCTCCTACCTGACCTCTCCGTCTGTCTCCTTTGCAAGATCTTCATGCTCCTCATTCCCATGAATGTCCCCTATGCCTCCGGCCTGGGTCCTCTGCTCCTCTCCCACTAGACTGCTTCCCTTCATCATCTCATCAGCTTCCATGGAGTCAATGATCATCTCTATGGTGATAATTCTCAGATCTACTGTCCAGCCCTGACCTCTATCCTGACCTCCAGTCTTACATCTCAAATTGGATATCCAGTAGACATCTTAAATTCAACATGTCCAAAACTGAGTTTGTGATCTTCCCCCACCCCCAAGTCTTCCCTTCCTAATTCCTCAGTCATCTCACCTTCAGTTCTTCACTGTAGCCCCCTCCCCTGCTCCATATCCAATCAGTTGTCAAGGCCTGTTGTTTCTACTTCCATAACATCTGTCACATCCGCCTCCTTCTCTCCTCTGATGCTCCGCCCTCTCTTCCCCCGTGCAGCCCCTCATCACTTCATGCCTGGACTATGGTAGTAGTTGCTGGGGGTGGGGTAGTTTGCCTGCCTCAAATCTCTCCCCACTCCAGTCCATCCTCCACTCACCTGGCAAAGCAATCTTCTGAAAGCACAGGCCTGACCTAGTCCTCCTGCTCAATAAACTTCAGTTGCCTCCAGGATCAAATCCAAGTCCTTCAGAACCCAGCCCCTTTCTACATTTTCAGCCTTCCTGTACTTCATTCCCACCTCATGCTCTGTGATCTGGTGACCCTGGCCTCCGGGCTGTCACTCAAACAAGACCCTCCATTTCCTGAATCTGAACACTTTCCCTGGCCATCCCCCATGCCTGGAATCCTCTCCCTCCTCTTCAACGTCTGCTGGCTTCCTGGGCTTCCCCAATCCCCAGACGCTCTCTGCTACTCTTCCTCTACTGATCAGCCACGATGTGGCCTGTGTGTAATTGTCTGCATGTATCTCCTCCATTGGACTGAGAGGTCCTTGAGAATATGGACTTTCTTTTTGCCTTTTGCCTATTCCCAGTGCTTATAAAGTACAGCGTCTGGGGGCAGCTAGGTGGCACAGTGAATAGAACATGCACCCTGGATTCAGGAGGACCTGAGTTCAAATTCAGCCTCATAACACTTAACTAGTTGTGTGACCCTGGGCAAGTCACTTAACCAACCAAATAAAGTACAGCGTCTGGCACACAGTCGGCATTTAATAAATGCTTGCAGACTTACCTAACCTTTAAAAAAGTTTGGTGACTCTTAATTGGTTGCTTTTGTTTTTATATCAGTTATTTTTTAGGTACGTCTCTCCCCCCTCCCCCATTCTGCTCAGTAAGCCTTCCTTAGTAACAAAGAAGGGGGGAGGAGCAAAACCAAGCCTCGCTGAGCACATCTAACAGAGTCGGCCACATCTCACACCCATAGCCCCCACTTCTTCAGTGAAAGAAAAGAGATGCGTTTGCTGATCTCCTCCCTCTGGGCCAAGATCATCCGGAATCACCCAGCATCCAGCTCTCTGGCTCAGCTCCGGGTGTTTATCTGGTCGTAGTCCTTGTCTGTATTGATTTCTGCTTACTTCACTTGGTATTAAGTGATAAAATCTCCTGGCCGAAGTGCCCCATCCATGCATAACGAATCACGCAATCAATCACGGTGCCCGCTGTGTGTCAGGCTCTGTGTTTCAAGGAAGACAAAGAACGAAACAGTCCCTGCCCTCAGGGAGCTTACATTCTACACCAGTAGACAGGGATACACATACATATCAATGACCTGAATACTAGGGTAATAAATGCCTAGGAAGAGCACGCAGTTACAGGAGCAGCGCTCGCTGTTCGCGGTTATTAAATCCCCAAGGGTCAAAGAAGACAAAAGCAGGAGTGGAGCAGTAGGGGAGCTGGAGAGACAAAAGGGACTTCCACTGCCTCTGGTGACCCATACTCCAGCGGAAAATCCTGAGGCAAGTGTTCCGATGAGGCTCGGAGACGTGAGACTAGTCCAGGGTCACTCAGCCGACACAGGGCAGGGCTGGGGCAGGAGAGAAAGCCATGCTCTTCCCTAAGCCGCAGGACAGAAGCCCAGTGTTCTGTGACCCCCCCCATCACCCCTCTGCCCCCCACCGCCCCTGCCCTGTCTGGTCGGTGAATGAAGAGGCCGTGGTGCTCCTGCGTCCGCAGCTGCGGCTTCCCGTCCCACCTCCGAGGCGGGGTGCACCTGGGGTCCTGACGCGGGCTTTCCTTCTAAAAGAGCCTTAGAAAATCAAACGTGAATTGAGCGCCTTCTGGCAGTCCTCGGACAGCCACAGGCACGCTGCGCACTCGTCTCTCCAAATGGAAAGTCAAACACTCACACACACGCCCAGACAGGTCATAAAAGGCGCCCAGTCAGCGGCAAGGGCAGGGAGTGTACCCACGGGACCCTCCTAGACCGCCGGGGCAGACGGGGAGGAACCTCCGCCTTTCAGGGCTGGAAGAGGCTTTCTTCACAATGACCTGTTGAGATAGGTTTTGGGAGTGGTGGTAATTAGTACAATTCCCATTTCCCAGAAGGGAAAGCTGAGGCCCAGAGTCTAAACCGGGCTCACAACTTGTCAAGTCAACAAACGTTTCTCAAGCACTTACCATGCGCCAGGCACTGTTCTAGGTGCCGTGGAGATTCGTCTCCCCAACAAGCCAAAAACGATCCCTGCCCCAGTGTGGTCTGACCGGGGAGGCTGAGCAACAGCTTGGGAGTGCATCGCATCTGCATTGGCCGAAGGTGGAAATGATCTCGGAGGGAGGGCGCTGGCCCTAAGGGGGCTTTTACCTGGGGCTCGACAGAGGCCGGGCCGCTGGGAGGCCGACATGAGGAGGGAGAACCCTGCAAGCGAAGGGCACAGTGGAGGAAATGTCCGGAGTCAGGAGATGCAGCGTCTCATTGGAGAACAGCCAGGGGGCGGGCGTCTCTGTGTTAGGGTAGAGCACCTGGAAAAGCGTCAGGAGGAAGAATATTGAAAAGCCAGGAAGGGTGCAGGTTATGAAAGAGGCTTTGAATGTCAGACCACTTTATGTTTGAGCCTGGAGGTGATAGGGAACTACTGCAGTTTATTGAAGAGGATGGTAATATGGGCAGAACTGCCCTTTGGAAGGATCAGATCGACACCTGAGTGGAGAATGGGGGGGGGGGGGCTTGAGGAAGGCAGACCCCCTTCAGGAGCTACTGCTGCTACATTAGGGGTGAGGTGATGAAGGCCTGCACCTGGCTGGGGAACAGGGTTGGAGCAGAGAGGGGGTGTATAGGAGAGATGTCAGGAAGGTAGAAAGTCCCATCGGCTGGGATGAGCTGCCCACGTGCCTGGGAGGAAGATGGTAACTCCCCAGCAAGAAGAAAGTTAGCAAGAAGGGAGGTTTTGGGGAGAAGATTTATGGGTTCCATTTGGGCCATGCTGAGTGTAAGATATCTACCCTGGACATCCTATTGGAGAGGGGGAGTGGAAGTAAGGAGAAGGGGGTGGACAAAGAGACTTGAAAATCATCAGCACAGACATGATCATAGAGTCGTGGTGAGTCCACCAAGAGAAATAGAGAGGGAGAAGAGAAGAACGCCCAGGGCTGAGCACTGGAGAATGCCCTGGTTAGTGGGTCTGACCTGCCCCAGGCCTTCAGACTCACCACTTAGTCTGATCAAGGTGCATGGAGGAATGGGCTAGAGAATCACCAGCTCGGTGCTGCCAGGGATCCTTAGTGGGTACTTGGTCCTATGCCTCCATTTTACAGATGTGGGAACTGAGGCCTAGAGGGGGAAGAGTCCCACTCAAAGTCACACTCCAGGTAATCAGGGGCAGACCCTGAATTCAAACCCAGGTTCTCTCGACCCAGTCCTGTGTTCTCTCTCCTGTGCCATGAACCCATCCCAGGGCCCTGATGTTCCCAACTGGAAGACCAGTGCTGAGGATCAACATGCTCATTTCTGCTCAGTTTACTGGCTTCTGAAATTGTCTTTTCCAAGTGCTACGGATGCCCACTCGCCAGCACAAACCTGGGGCCCCAGCCTTCCTCAAATGGGATGTTTAGGCACAAAAGCATCTGCACAGTGAAGGCTGGGGGTGGAAGGGAGAACCTGCCGGTCAGTCCTTTGGTTCTAGAAGAATCCACAGGGCTGCTGAGTTCCATTTGGCCATTTGCCAAATCACAGCTGCTTCTGCTTAGCTGATGACTGAAGACTTCCAGCCTAGGCAGCTAGGTGGTGTGATGGATAAAGCACCAGGCCAGGAGTCAGAAAGACCTGAGTTCAAATTTAACCTCAGACACTTCCTAGCTGGGTGACCCTGGGCAGGTCACTTAACCTCTGTTTACCTCAGTTTCCTCATCTGTAAAATGGGGATAATAACAGCACCTACCTCCCAGGGTTGTTGTGAAGATCGATGAGATAATGATTGTGAAGTGCTTGGCACAGTGCCAACACACCAGCAGTTTTGCAGAGAGGCTAGTCACCCATCGGGTTGTGGATGGCCACAGAAGTGGCTGTGAGGAGGGGAGGGAATGAGAGGGAGAGAATGGCTCTGGGCCAGTGGCTATCTTAGGAAGAGGAGGGCACCAGGACCTGCCCCATAAACCACCAATGCCCCTCCCCCGACTTCTAATTCCAGTGACTGGACAGCTCAGCCTTTTACTCTGCGCTCCTGCCCAGTGAATGAACAGAGAGGACTGTTCACTCACTAGAAGCACAGGGACACAGGGCTCAGTCTCATCCACGGGGCAGCTTCCCGGACACTCCAAACACCTTCCCTCACTGAGGCTTTTGATGGTTATGGCTGTCCTCCGTGCTCAGAGGACCAAAATGACATCACTACGTCCGGGTCGAGGTACAGTGTGTCCGACTGTGGCCTATCAGACCAAAATGAGCTGAGGACTCCGCCTCAGGTCAGGCACCACCGGTCCACACGAACATTTGGCATGGAGAAGTCTCCATTTGCACGTCTCACATTTCTTTTGAGCTGCTTCAATTCTGCCTTGCTCCTAGAGCGCAGCACCTTCTCTGATGAGGGCATGCCATGCTGGGCGGTCCTGTGCCAGGGTCTCCCACGTCCCACAATTCCAGAGTTCTTAACAGAGACCTCGAGAGTATCCTTGTATCACTGCTGCTGGCCCTCATGCGAGTATTTGCCCTGTGTGAGCTCTCTGTAAAATAGCAC